ACACACACACACACACACACACACACACACACACACACACACACACACACACACACACACAGAGGGTTTGTTTGGACTCCCTCTGGCTGAGCAGACTAACAGAGTTACGGCCGGTTGGCCTTTACTGCCGCTCACTACAACACACATGAAGACAGATTTCATTCATTCATTAGCCAGCACTCATAAATACACGGTTATGGACTCTGTGTGTGTGTGTGTGTGTGTGTGTGTGTGTTTCCAGACACTGGGTTGTTCATTAGCCAGACGGAGCCTCTGTGATGTAAATGTGCTCACATACTGTATTTATACGGACATACATCAACACTTCGCACTAAAACCCACTTTTCCACAGATGAGTTTGTGTTTCTTCGAGGTCTTATTCATACTGGCTTTTACGGGAGGTTCTGCTTTGACTGGATTTTTTCTTTTTAAAGATTATATTAGTAGCTTTTTAAATAAATCCTGAACCACTGAAACACGTAGAAATGATTGAATGAGGCTCTTATGAAACAGGCTTAGTTTTAATAACACATTAACGGGAACTTTAGCTGCCCCCAAAACACACACACACACACACACATATACACACACACACACACTCTTTCCTCCGAGTTAATTAAACACCCGCAGCTTCCTAAGATCACAAAACCCGATGGCTTTATTTAGAAATCGTCCATAAAGGTTCCCGATCCAAAGATCAAAGTTCTGTCTGGAGAGGTTAAAGAACATTCAGGAAATAAGAGCTCAAACAGACTGTGTAAAGGGAATTATTAGTTAACCCTGTAATGCCAAATGTATCATATCTGATTCATACGGTTTCTGAAATGTTTTGCGTCTGACTCCTTTTGCATAATTTAATGGTAAAAACTTTGCTCAAAATCCTATTGTACACAATCAGATACACCTGATAACAGGGGGCAGAAGAATACACAAAAAATAATCTGGACTTATCACATAGTAATAAATTATCAATATTGAAAAAAAAAAAGTTTTTTGTTTTTACATATTTTTCTAAAAGGCCAAATAGGGAATTAAAAAAAAAAAAAAGGAAATTTCTGTTTTGTTTTATTCTTGGATGGGGCTTTGAAAGGATAAGACAAAAGTATGTTTCTTTGACTTAACTCTGAGCTCTGAATCATTCAGGCAGAAAAAGGCCCCTAACTCAAGGGATGAGCCAGCGTTGTGTCCAACTCAGAAAAAATAAGAGTTTAAACACATCATCTGCTCCATTTCTGATGGAGGAAAAAAGCCAAAGAAAACCCATCAGACAGACAGGAAACAGGATTTCTGAGGACTCCCAAAGAGCAATCCAGCAGATGAAGAGGATCTGAAAAAGCTCTAAACAAATGTTTACAGGTTAACAGGCTGTATGAGAAATTTCCAGACAAAATAACTATCAAAACAACCAAGAAACAAGTTTCGATATTTAACTTTAAGAAATATCTGTGAAAAAGACGTGACTTTGCTTTAGTTTGAGAATAAAGCAGCAACAGAACAAGAGAAAGTTCTGATATTTATTCTAATTATTCCTTGGATTCACTTGTTTTTGGTTCCCAAATGTGAAGCTACAATCAGCTTAATGTTAATTGTGGGACTTTGTTCAGAGGCGTTTATTTAGCCTTCAGATCTTTTTGGATCTCACAGTTTGAGCTCAGGGTCCAGAAAGAGCCCGATGAGGACGGGGAACAGAGGGATGAAAGAGGGGCCGCATACATTAGCCCTGTGTGTGTTTTTCCCTCTTGATAGTGTGGCAGCTTTGTGCTAGTTGTCTTTTTTCTGTCTCCTTGGGCTCAAACTGATGGATAAGAGGCGATTATTCAGAAAGACGAGCTCTAGAGGAGAGAAAGCAGCTGAGAGCAGCTCCCTGACAGCCAGGCCTCCCTGGTTTTGTGCTCTTTCCTTCTTTCTCTTTGGCTTTCTTTTAGCCTTCAGAGGGGCGGGGCGGTGCCCCCCCCCTCCTGAATATGGAGGGGGTCATCCCCCTCTGTCCAATCAGTCAGTGCCGTCTTCCCTCAGAAGACAAAGATACCAAAACACAATCAGCAAGTCCTGTCAGATCTGGAAACACAACAACCAACAAAAACCAACAACCAACAACAACCAACCACCAACAAAAACAAACAACAACAACCAACAAAAACCAACAACCAACAACAACCAACAAAAACCAACAACAACAACCAACAATCAAATACAACCAAAAACAACCAACACAACCAACAGCAACCAACAACCAACAAAAAACAATAACAACCAACAACAAACAACACAACAAACAACAACCAACACAACCAACAACCAACAAAAACCAAATACAACCAACAACAACCAACACAACCAACAACCAACGAAAACCAACAACAACCAACACAACCAACAACCAACAACCAATGGAAACCAACAACAACCAACACAACCAACAATCAAATACAACCAAAGACACAATATATCCAGACTGCTGCTTGAGCCACACCCGGGCCTTAAAGAGCGGGTAAATCATCAGAATGAAAGCATGTACGACCAGAAATGTAGAAGAAAGAAACAAGGGATGGATCTAACTTTTTAAAAATGAGAAAAAAATAATTTCTGACCAAACGTTCTGAATGAAAAATGAACAGATGAAAGCTTAAAGGCTTAAACCCTCTACGCACTAACAGGTACCTGTAAAAGACTAATATTAAGAAAACAACAATTAACAAAAGGTTATCAGAGATATAAAATCATTCAATTTCCCCTCCACTGTGGGCCTGACCCCTTCCATAAACCCCAGGAAGACAGGCCAAACACATCTGGATAATCTGTTTTCTCCCCGTCTGCTCAAATCCAGCATCACGCATTTAGAAAGTGAGAACCGGAGGAGGTAAACGAGTCGAGACTGAATGGTCAGGAAGTCCAAAATGGCTGCCAGAGGGGGCGTGGCCACAGAATCAGTTCATTCATCACATTGAAGCTGAACGCATTCCTGCTGTCAGTCAGAGGCAGAATGGAGACCTCCAGACCATTCAGCCCTGCTTAGGCATGCAACAAGTGTTCACACACACACACACACACACACACACACACACACACAC